GAAAGCGGCTCCCATCGGAGCCCAGAGGTTTTTTCTAATTATTTGAAATACCCGAAGGGGAGCTTGCACATGGCGGTGGCGTCACCATCGGCTGAGCTGATGGGGGAGCTGTGGACCCGAGAGAGCACGTGGTTTCCTCCGTTTTCCGGCCGAGCAGCCTCGCCTCTTCTGAGAGTCTCCCTTGATTGATCCAGGAATCAATTCCCATGAACCTTGAGTAACAAAAGCCACGATGCTGGCGAGGGTGAGGTTAGAAATCTTTACATTTTAGCTCGTTTCGTCGCCCACGTGCGCCATTTCTGTCTTCCCCTCCTTCTCTGAGTGTTTGTGACGCCTGAGGCCCAGGGAGGAAGCAATTCACAGGAGAGAATGTGGTGGCGGAGGTGGGACACGTGACGTTCAGGGGCCTCCATTTCCTGGCTGCGCGGCCAGCGTTTGCTTTATTTCGGGTTTCTCTCCGGCTCTGTGAGTGAGCCCGTGGAGATGCCGGGAGGAAAACCGAGGCCTGAGGCCGGAGAGAGGCTGCCTGGGAGGAATGAGCGGCCGGTTTTGCATTTCCCTCCTGTTGGCCCGAGGCCTCCTGCAGCTGGAAATCGTTCCGCAGCGTTTGCAGGCCAAAGGGAGGTGAGGCCTTGGGTTCGAGGGACGACTGATGGGGCAGAGCAGAAGCTGGGGAGCCAGCTGGCATCTGAGAACTACTCGTCCAGAAATGCTCTGGTAACGTGATGGTGTTGTTCTGAGGAAGGAAGGCGCTGTCTAACCTGCCTGGGAGCGGCCCGCTCTCCCCACCGGAGCTGCCTGTCCTCAAGGGAAGATCACGACTTTGTTGGGGAACCAGAGCGGCCAGCCCTCCGGAGACCCCGCCTTCGCATATCATCAGCCTTTGAAGACCCCCAGCCCCGTTCCCGGTGAACTGCCCGTTGGGCACACCCTTTGCCCACTTCCCCTGTAATCCTTGCCCTTCTACCCGACACAAGCAGCTGGCTTATGGGGGGCAGAGCAGATGTCTGTGGTGACTGCTGCTCTCCCCGCTGCCGGCAGGATTGGGATAAACGCTCATACGATTCCACCCTGACTCTGCTGAACTGGCTCCAGGAGTGACAGGCAGCCCCGGCCCCTTGATTGTCGGGTCACAAACTCAGGGCACATCCTCCTCCGTGTGGACAGTTAGGACGGGAGGAGCTCCCTCCACCTGCCAGGGGCAGGGCAGCTCCAGGTGAGAGTTCTTTGAAAAAGGCCATGGGTTTTGCAGACCAGCCCCTACGCCCTCCCCTCCTGTGCCCTCCAGCCGTCTCTCCACACACCATGGACTCCTACTCAGCAATAAAAGGAATGAGATCTTGCCTGTGATGGGATGGACCTAGCGAGTATTACACCACGTGACATAAGCCAGAGAAAGACAAACACTGTATAATTTCACTTATATGTACAATCTTAAACACACACAGAAAAGCCCTAGCCAGTTTGGCTCAGTGGATAGAGCAGCAGCCTATGGACTGAAGGGTCCCGGGTTCGAGTCCGGTCAAGGGCACATACCTTGGATGCAGGTTCCTCCCTGGCCCGGGCCCTGGTCAGGGCGCGTGCAACAGGCAACCAATCGATGAGTTTCTCTCACATCAATATTTCTGTCTGTCTGTCTGTCCCTCTCTCTTCCACTCTCGCTAAAAATCAATGGGAAAATATCCTCGGGTGAGGATTAGCAAAAACAAAAGAACTGAATAAACAAAAGAGAAACATCCATACAGAGGAGATGGAAATCTTAAATAAATAAATAAAACGGCACCAAGACAAACCAACCCTGGAAATTGTACCTGAGCGAATCCTTATGAAAGTTTCAACCACAGAGAAAACAAACTTACAGGTGGAGGGGGGCGGAGTCGCTGGCCGGAGCGAGGGCTGAGGTTGGGGGGCGGCTCCCAGCGCACAGTTCACCCCTCAACCCCGGAGGAGGGCCTTGCTGCTTCCTGAAGGCGGGGCCCAGCCTGGCACGGGCTGGAGCTGAGACGCCCTCTGCACACCTGGCTCAGCGCTGGTCCTTAAGGACGAAGGTAGAACCGCCTGCTGACTCTAGGCCTTTTTGCAGAATCGCCGATCGGCCCATCAGCTGGCTGCATCTCCAGGTGCTGAGGTTCTGGCTGAGGTGAGCCCGGGGCGGATGAGGTGCAGCTCGAGCCGCCTGCTCCACAGCTGCTCCGTCTTGAAGACCACGGGCCACGGGCCGACCTCGTGAGTTTGTAGTTAGTGACATCAGGGGCTAAGGCCAGTTTCAAAAGTATGCTAGGAGACAAGTTGGCAAAGCTGACTACAAATATAAAAAGGTTGGTATCCTTTGCTCTGGCAGCTTTGCTTCTAAGGACGTGTCCTAGGAAAACAAGCAAGTTTGCATTCTAGGGCATCTCCTAGGAGGCTGTTAAATACGTCATGATAATTCGCCTGATGTGATTACTACTAGTCACAGACCTGGGAAAGGGTCACTGTATAGCTTTTAAAACCATATGAAATCCTCAAAAAATTAAAAATGGAACTGCCATTTGACCCAGTGATCTCACTTCTAGGAATATATCCTAAGAAACCCGAAGCACCAATCAGAAAGAACGTATGCACCCCTATGTTCATAGCAGCACAATTTGCAATAGCTAAGATCAGGAAACAGCCCAAGAGCCCGTCAGCAGACGAGTGGATAAAAAGCTGTGGTGCATCCACACCATGGAGTACTATCGATCATAGAAAAGAAAGAGCTCTTACCATTCGCAACAGCGTGGATGGACCGGGAGAGCATTATTCTGAGCAAAATAAGCCAATTGGAGAAAGACAAGTATCACATGATCTCACTCATCTGTGAACCAAATAAACTGATGAACAAAAATAGAGCCAGAGACATAGAAGCCTGAACAGAGCGCCCCAAGGTCGGCACGCGCAGCGAGAGGGGAGCCTCAGCGGGAGGGGAGCCGCGAAGAGGATGACGGAGGGTGTCTGCAGGGCAGGTGGCAGTTACAGAGGGTCCCACGACAGTTCCATTGAGGAGCTGTAAGCGTCCCTCTCTGAGAACACACATTTGCAATCTGAGGAGCCCACGGAGGCTTTCTGTCTGTCTCCCGGACTGCACTCCGTCTGTGCCCTCTTCCGCCTCCTGGTGGCTGGGATCGCACTTTGCCGCAGTGGACAGACCGCGGTCCTCAAGCTGCTGCAGAAGGAGGGGACCAGGCTGTGAGTGGAGAATCAATTGCCCCTTCGATGGACCTGGGAAGTGCTGGTCAACATCAGCTCTAAGGGTAACGGTCGGTCCAGTGAGTGAGGAACCCGAAGGGGGAGGCGCCCAGCCCGTGCGGACCTGTCAGAGAACCAGGTGCTCCCCGAGACGCAGTCGGGTGGGAATCTCCTGGGAGGTTCTCACTTGAAAACCAGTTTTCTCCTGGACAGTGTGGCTCAGTGGTTGAGCGCTGACCTATGAACCAGGAGGTCACGGTCCGATTCCTGGTCAGAGCACATGCCCAGGTTTCCAGTTTCATCCCCAGTAGGGGGCGTGCAGGAGGCAGCCAATGAATGCATCTCTCTCATCATCGGTGTTTCTCTCCCTCTCCTTTCCTCTCTGAAATCAATACAAATATATATATATATATATTTAAAAAGGAGACAGGCCTCCTCCATCTTCCAATTAGTAAGAAAGAAAAAGAAAACCAATGTTTTCTGAAAGGACATGACTCGGTCACACAGTCCAACCTCTGGCCCCGCTTGGCTTCTCCAAGGCCCAGCAGCCCCTGTTGATGTCCCTGTGATGGGACCGGCTTCCCCCCCAGAAGGCCCTGGGCCTGCCCAGCCATGGCTGTTAGAAGGCACCCCCACAGGACACGTGAGGTCAGGAAGGAGTGTGGGATGGGAGGGAGTGTGGCTCTGTGGCCGAGGTGGGCACACGGCGGTGAGAACACCTACAGGATGATGAGGTCCAAATTCCAGAATTATTGGTTCTTTTCCTCCTGATGAACAGACCTATGTCGTCTCCTACACAGTCTTCTCTGTTAGGGGGAGCAGTGCTGGGCATAATACTGGTCGAGAACGTGGTTCATTCTTTCGTAGATAAAAGCGACCCCTCCTTCCCACCGACTCCTGCCAGCTTGCCGTGCAGAGCGTGATTTATAGTGTGCACACCCCTCCCGCTTCCCTACTGGGTAGTTTTTGCTCTTTTTTGTTGTTAATCCTCACCCGAGGGTATTTTTCCATTGATCTTTTAGAGAAAGTGGAAGAGAGAGGGAGAGACCGAGAAATAATCGAGAGAAACATCGATTGGTTGTCACCTGCATGTGCCCCGACCAGGGCCTGGGCCAGGGAGGAGCCTGCAACCGAGGCATGTGCCCTTGACTGGAATCGAACCCAGGACTCTTTGGTCCACAGACCGACACTCTATCCACTGAGCCAAACTGGCTAGGGCTAGTTTTTGCTCTTAAGGAACTGATCACCATAATGCAGAACTGACTGGTGGCAGACTGTCCATGGGGAGCCTAGTGGACTTTAGGTTTATTAAATTGGCTTATTTACTATTTTATGAATATTACCAGAGGCCCGATGGATGAAACTTGTGCAAGAGTAGGCCTTCCTTCTCCTGGCTGCCGGCACTGGCTTCCCTCCGGCACCCGAGACCCAGGCTTCCCTCGCAGCCCCGGCTTTGTCCAGAAGGACGTCCGGTCTAATTAGCATACTGCACTTTTATTATTATAGATGTGTCTCCCGGGTTGGGCTGCATATTCCTTCGGGGCAGGAATTACTTCTTCTATGTGCCCGTACACCCCACCCCGAGCGCACACAGCGCCCACCGGTATTGCTCCGTAAGTGTGTGTAGAAAACTGTGCTGTAGGCAGCACACTGAACAGGTGCTGAGGGATTAATACGTTAACAGTGACCATCAAGGCACTGCTTTATGCGAGTAAAACATCATAGTTTAAAGAGTGCACTGCACTAATTTAACCTCACAAATTATAACCCTTCACAGATATACAACTTTTGTATTTTTAAAGTGCTTTAAAAGATATTTATTTTTTTAAGGAGTGGAAAATAATGGTCTTTAAAAGACATTACGTTTTTTGTGGGAAATGGTATTACCAAAAGCATATAACAATTTATCATCTCCAAGAAATGGGGCTTTTATATAAAATACATCGGTAGCTTGAAGGCCAAAACGGTGGTTACGTGTGGTCCGAGTTCAACACTGGATTTGCTGTGGGGCCCATTCGCCAGGCGTCTTACGTCAGGAATGACCCTGAGCAGGGAGCGGGCGGGTAGGTGGTCAGTGCTTTTCAGGGGGCAGTGCCTCTCTGTGTAATGGTTTGAGTTAGTGGTCGGGACAGCCATTCAGACTGACCATGCCCTGGACTTGCACGGCGTCAGCAACAGGCACGGGCACGTGGTTGACCTGAATGTTCTTCATGCAGCCGGAAAAGGGCTTCCAGACGGGGGGCTCCAGGGCCTTCCAATCGGCTGCAACAGGAAAAGCAGACAGTCACGGGCAGGTCACAGGGGCGAACGAAAAGTAGTCGGATTAGAGCCGACGGGACCAGGTCCCAGCAACCCAGTCACTTCCTCCCTGTCAGGGGGCCCCCACCCCCCACCCGCTGACAAATCAGCCCAAGGCTGCTCTTCAAATTCTCCCAAGAGAGAGATCCCTCAGCCCAAACCCACAGACAGTAACTCTAGACTGAGTGCTTTTGATGGGTCATGGACGGCCTGGTGAACCACGTGGAGGAACATAAAACCATGAAGAAGGACGAGACTTTTCCAGGCGACATTCCAGTCGAACTCGCCTCCATCTCAGCCTGCCTGGCGCCCGTCCTGGCCCCACAAGGCTAACTCGCCAGGAAGCGCAGTGCCCGAGAGGAGACCCTGCCCCAGCCCTTCCTGGTTCCCGGTGGCCCTCAGGCTCCGAGGCTGACGCGGCCTCTGAAGAGGGGCTTGTAAAGGATTGGCTCGGGACGCGCGGGGGCAGCAGGCATGGCCGGGGCTGCCCATTGCTGGCAACTGGGTTTCCCCGGCCCCACTGCCACCGGACAGTCAACGGCTGCTCTGCTGGTAACCTGGGGGCTGGGGCATCGCGCTGGTTGGGTTGAAATGGAAACGTGAGAGCTGACAGGGGCGACACGGGGTCGATGCTGAGCCGGGGGTTACCTGGGACGCCTCCGAGGTGCAGTGGCTCCTGGGTGCGGGCGGGCGGGAAGGGGTGCCGCCCGGCTGTGTAGCTGCTGACCGTGTCCAGTTCCAGGTGCAGGACGTGTTGCTTTATGGTCACTGGAGGGAGAGCAGGCTGGTCAGGCAGGACCTGGGGAGCCCTGCCCGCTGTCTACACTGAGCAACCACTGGTTCTTCCGACTCCCTCCTGTGTGGCCCGGGGGGCACTGCGCTCGGTTCAGCAACCTCAACATAAAGCAGCTGCTTCCTCCACACAGTGGTGCTTAGTGCTCCCACGTGTGTTACAGGCTTTAACCCTTAAACATGTGAGAACGATATGATCCCTCCATCTCCCATGTAGGAGACCGGCTCTCCAGCCCTGAGGAGCCGATGAGACAGCGAGACTGTAAGCTGAACGGCAGTTGGGCCCTGTCTCCCGTCTCAGGCCACGCTTCTGCCACCTGACCTCAGCTTCTCTCCCGGAAGATTCAACTTCTGGAAACTGACTCCAAAGACAGGCACTTAAAAAATATATTCTTTTACTGATTCTTAGAGAGAGAGGAAGGGAGAAGGATAGAGAGATAGGAACATCGTTGAAAGAGAAACATCATCGATCAGCTGCTTCCTGCACGCCCCACACTGGGGATGGAGCCAGAAACCTGGGCATGTGCCCTGACCGGGAATCAAACTGTGACTTCCTGGTTCATGGGTCAACACTCAACCTCTGAGCCATGCCAACCGGGCTAGACAATCATTTTTGACGCTCCAAATAAAACTCCTCCCATATTAATAATCCTAACTAATTGCAGTGTAGTTAGCTTTCAAATTAGCTGAGAAAAGATTCATTTTTACAAAGATATTTTAGTTAAAACGAACTAATATCCACAAGTTATTCATAGAATAGCAGGTTCGATGTGAAAGGCTGTGCCTGCTCTCTGCCCCGTGGTTCGTGTAAAGCGTTTGCTTTCGTGTTGAAGAGTCCAGGGCCCGTGCTGACAGGGGCCCCTCACACACTCAGTCTCTGGGAGGAACAGAGGCCTGAACTCTCGGCTTCCACACCTGCTTGCTTACCGTCTGAGTCAACCTCTGCAGGGAAGCCCTGGTTTCACCTTTTGACCAATGAATGGATTGAGATCTGCCCTGTCCAATCAGAACTATACACATTGTAGCCTCATTTGCATCTATATTGACCAATCAGAACTGCATGATTTAGAAACCTCATTTGCATAAAATTGGGACTTAGGGCAGGAACTTTCTCTACGAAAGGTGGCCTTCCCTTTGCCTCCGTGGAACACAATTCAGGCTGCCATCTGCATCGGTGTCTCCCTGGCTGCAGCTCCTTTTGCTCAAGCGAATGCTTTTTTATGCTTTATCATAGTCCAATTAATGCCGGTTTACCATTTTAACCTGCTGCGCTGACCCTGCCAGCCACGAATGGGGCTTTAACTCGGGCTGCATCTGGGACATTCAGGATGAAAAGGGAGGCTGGACGTCGTACCTGCCACCGAGTGCCACTGTCCGTCACACAGAGACTGCCTGGGTGTGACCGAAGTCACCATCCCACCTGCCTCGCTGGCCACAGAGGCCACGACCTGGAACACATGTGAATTCATTTATTTAGTTAGTTAGTTCTCACCGGGATATTTCTCCATTGATTTTAGAGGGAGGGAAGGGAGGGGAGAGGCACACAGAGAGAAACATCGATTGGTTGCTTCCTGCATGCTGACCAGGGCCAGGGATCGAGCCTGCAACCGAGGTTTGTGCCCTTGACCGGAATGGAACCCAGGACCCTTCAGTCCGAGGGCTGATGCTCTAACACCTCTAACACCAGCCAGGGCCACACGTGCATTGTCTATTTCCTTAAGAAAGGCAGGTGGAGCCCACTTCCCTGCATCTCCCTCCCAACCCTTCACCCCGACAGCCCGAGAGCATAGATACAGGTCCCCTCCCCCACCAGCCACCACGCGGGTCCAAGGCTCTGCAGGACCCTCTGCTGCGTCCCCTCAAAGCAGCTGCCAACCAGAGTCCTGCCTGTGCTGCTGCCTAAGGCACTGAGCTCGTCCCTGCACATTGAGCGCTGCCCCCTGCAGGCCCCACTCGGTGGTGACTCGTTGACAGCGAAGATCCCCCTCAGCTGTGAACATGTGACCGTGGCTTGTTTAGGACATTACAATGTGGAAGGAAGACATGCGGCGGAGCCTGCACCCCCTGCTCGGCTGCCAACTGAAACAGTGCCATGAATGCCCGGCTGACAGAAGGTTCACACCAGGCGTCCAGCAGCTACCCGACTGCATCTGCACTGGGCAGGTGTCGGGGTCAGGCCCTCAGCCGGGCCAGGCACTTGGCGGGGTCAGGCCCTCGGCGGGGTCAGGCACTTGGCGGGTTACTGTGCGGATCCCGCATCCCCATTCCCTGGGCTGGGAGTCTCTGAATCAGGTGAGTGAAATGGGAGAACTAGACCAAGTGTTGATAACTAATTTGCATTTAATTTGCATTTAATTTGCATGCTGCTAGACAGGGCAGCCTGTTCTCAGGGAATTTCCAGCTAAACCTGTGACTGCGGCTATGAAGGCAGCGGGTCTCGATTTCAATTCTTTCCCGTCAGGAAGCTCTCACTGGAGATGCTCCCTAACCCTCCCCTGAGGAGTCACCGCCCCCTCCCCCCCACGCACCTTGCCGGCCTCCAGGTAGACGCGCAGGTGCCTCCCGGGCTGGCGGCCCACGTGCAGCAGGACCCCCGTGAGGCTCCGAGGGCGGATGCTGAAAAGGAGCTTGAATTCCGGCCCCAACGACACAGAGTTCGCTTTCAAAGGGGGAAAGAAAAGAGATAAACAGTTAAAATCTCGTCATTCGAGAAAAAGGATGGAGCTCTTCAGGCTCAGAGACACCCCCTCTTCCCCACGGCTCCTCACCTAGTGTGACATGACCACCTTCCTGGGAGAAATAAACGCCTTTCTCCAAAGAGCCCGCCAAGCAGGGAGACACCCCCACGCGGGCAGAAGGCGCGTCCAGTGGTTTCGAATCCACCTGGAAGTTCCTCAGGCACCCCACGAAGCTGCTCTGGGGGAGGCTCTGCGACCGAGCAGAAGAGAGAGCGAAGGCCATTACCCACAATTCCCGGAAACACGGGGGCAGCCCAGCGAGGGGCAACCCGGCGAGGGGCAGGGGCAGCCGGTGAGGGGCAGGGCAGGGCAGGGCAGGGGCAGGTGTCTGCTAAAGGCGGAGGTTGGCCCATCCTTCCTGTTTCTGAGTCAGGCGGCCCCACTGCTCCCCCTGGCTCCCTGCCACAGAACCAGAAAACGGGTACCAGACGTCCGGTGGGCAGTCAGATCTGAAGGTGCCCCCAACCCAAGTGGCGTGTGTGCAAAGGCAGGGGTGTGGGGGGTGCGGGACAAGAGCAGGAGGTGAGCGGCCCCGGTCCAGGGGGCAGAGCTGCAATGGGGGCGGGAGTTTCCGCCTCACACTCCAGACCTCGCCGTCCCTGCAGTTACAACCCCCCGAGGATTTCATGAGCTCACGTGACTGCTTAACGCAGGGCGGCTTTGGGAAAAGAGGCCCAAACATTCCACAAATAATAAAGTGTAGGAAGGTCCCCTGCACTGTTGGGCTCATCGAATGCCTGAGACTTAAAATAAGACACCGGGGGGCGGCCCCAGTGGGTCCGCGTGGAGCCCTGTGTCTGCCCCACAGGGGCCCGGGGCCCAGGCAGGCGCCTCTGGGTTCTGTGATCCCTTAAACCAGGGGAGGGGGTGGGCGGGGAGGGGGAACATCTGGCCCGTGGCCCCTGTAAGGCCTGAGAAATCATGGGGCCTGGCCCTGCCACGGCATCAGGGGAGCTAATTAAATGTGGGGCCGCACCGGGCAGGCTCCTGTCCAGGCCGCGTGGCAGCCCTCAGTCAGCCCTGCAGGGCCCGCCCGTGCCTGCAGCTTTCGATCAAGAGGCTGGGTGGGGACGGGGAACGGTGCCTGTGGGGCTCACGGCATCAGTGGATTATTCGAAAGCCCGTCTGGGGCTTGCGGGCATCCTCAGGGTCCTGTGTGAGGACATGCGGACGTGGCAGAGGGCGTGTGTTTCATCTGCGGCTCTGAGCACAGCCACTCACCTTCGGCCTCCCCGAGGGGGAGGATCCCAGGTAAACGGACGCCCTCGGGCTGAGGGTGACATTTCCTGGCGAACTTCCCTCCCAGGCCCTCAGACCATCCACGACCAGGCGCCCCTTCTCCCCGTCTTGTCCGAACACCACCTTACAAGGGAAGGAACAAGGTGATTATAGTTTTGCCTCTGACAACGGCTGCAGTACTTCACTTTGTGGTCACAGGAAACGCTTAAAAAATATTCTTCTGACCCTGGCCAGTGTTGCTCAGTGGATAGAGCCTCGGCCTGAGGAATCAAGGATCCTGAGTTCAATCCCGGTCAGGGGCACATGCCCGGGTTGCAGGCTCGGTCCCTAGTGGGGGGCATGCGGGAGGCAGCCAATCAATGATTCCCTCTCATAAGTGATGTTTCTATCTCTCTCTCCCTCTCCCTTCCTCTCTGAAATCAATAAAAATATTTAAAAAATATATTTTTCTGTCCCTCAAGTAGCTTTAAAAACTCAGAGATATTTCTCCCTAGTGTTTTCATCATTATCACCATCATCATTTGCGATGTAACGTTAGATATTGAATAAAGTGAGCTAAAGAAGTGAGCAAAAAAAAGGGTTGCTCAACAGTGAATAAAGATATAATTAATCTGGAAACACAGAAAATATAAACAACTGAAGAGGCAAAGGAAGGTGAGCAGACACCCATGCAGCACGGGACGGACAGCTGTGCGGGGCTGAGGGGGAGTCACAGGCCCCTGAGCAGGGCTCCTGGGGGAGGGGCCAGGGCTGCTTCTCTTCCACCAACAGGAGACAAGTCAGGGTCCCGGGCTCCAGTGAGGACTGAGCCCCTCGTGGCTGTGAGAGGCTCACTGATGGCTCCCAGCGTGTGCTCCCGCCCGGCGGCCACCTCTGGCCTCTGCTGCCTACGGACCCTGGGCTCCCATGTCTGACGGGCAGCCCAACTCGAGGATGTTCCCACAGAACTCCTCCCCGTCCCAGCTCAGACCTGCTTCCCCCCACCCACTCCCCGTCCTTTCCCTCTCAGCAGAAGTTCCACCGTGGGCCTGATTACTGGTCCAAAAGCATAGGACTCGAGCCCGGCCGGCGTGGCTCAGTGGTTGAGCATCCACTATGAACCAGGAGGTCAGGGTTCGATTCCTGGTCAGGGCACAGGCCCTGGTTGTGGGCTCGATCCCCAGTGTGGAGCATGCAGGAGGCAGCCGATCCATGAGTCTCTCTCCTTATTGATGTTTCTATCTCTCTCTCCCTCTTCCTTCCTCTCTGAAATCAATAAAAATATATTAAAAACAAACAAACAAAAAAAACCTAAATCATAGGACTCAGTATTGACACCTCTCTCTCCCTCTCTCCCTCTCTTGCCTCAAACTGTGTTTCTTTCCGTCTGGGACGCCTGAGGGCCAGGCCAGGGTGCTAGGATGGAGACAGCTCTCGGAGGGGCCTGGGCCTGGGAGGGGCCTGAAGGAGGGAGACGCCCAGGGGCTGGGGGGCTACTCGGGAGGCAGAGGGACTGAGGCAGAGAGCAAAGCCCACCTGGCGTTTAGGAGGACACCCGGGCGCAGTGTGCAGCCTCTCACCGAGGTCCCCGCCCACCTCAGCCTCACTGGGTGCCATGCCCAGCCCGGCCTCACCGTGTGCCATGCCCGCCCGGCCTCACCGTGTGCCACTGCCCGTCGTCGTACTTCTCTTTGCTCCTGAGCCTCAGTTTCTTCCCTCCTGCGCCCAAAGCGAAGACGAGCCGCCCCTTGGAGAGGTAAAGGGCCATGAAGGAGGCCTGGGAGCCCGTGTGGAACACCAGCCCGCCGGGGGCGGCTGTCTGCACATCCACGGAGAACTGTGACCTGGGGAGGAAGCAGGCAAGGAGGGAAGCAGAGGTTCCAAGTGCTTCTCCAGATCTTCGAAGCTGGGGAGGGGAGGAGCTGGCCCCACCCCCATTGTTTCAATGAGTAAACTGAGGCACGCCGATGAAATGGCCACCTCTCTGTGCTGTGCAATCCCTCACTGAGGGGGGACGCGTGTGGGAGCCCCACCGTAGCGTAGCTGGTGGCGTGCGTCCCGCACACGAGAGGAGGAGGTAGAAGAAAACCCACACTGCTCACTCCTCTTAGCTTTCCAATACTGTGAGGCAGAGCCCACACCTAAATGCACTTTAATTCCTCAAATTAGCGAGTTCCTTGAGGGGAATGCTCTTCAAAAAGAACAAGAAATCTCTATATTTGCTCAATGAAACCAGCCAGCTGGCACACGGCTCGGCGTTCCCCGGTGTCTGCGTTTGGTGGAGGTTTGGAAAGTGGGGGGAGCCAATCTCAGGCGGGAGGCAGACCGAGCTGTGTTCCAGCGCTTAACGCCTGTGGGCTGGTGAGAGCCATGGCCTGAGCACACGGGGACTGCTTCCTACCGCAGCTCTCCCTCAGGAAGCCTGCCTGCACCCCAAAAGGCCTGCCTCTCGGCCTGAGGCGCTCCCTGCCCCTCCCCATCCCTCTCCTTCCTCCCCTTTCAGGGGGCAGCGGGCCCAGCCAAGCTAAGGCCCCCCTGGCTGCTCCTGCCCCCCATTTCCCTACAGGAACAGTCCGTCTCCTGCCCATCTGATCCACGGGGACACCCCCAGCCTGCAGGGTCTGAGTGGCGGGCCCTGGGCTCACAGCGGATAGGGGCCAAGCCGGGCGGACAGCAGGTCTTTGGACCCCGGACACTGTGCCCCTACAGGTGAGTCACAAAGGAACTGTGGCGCCTTTTCTCCCGGCTCCTTCCCATCCCATGAAACGACAACCCTGGCTCCCCCACACTCGTTCCTGACGTAATTAACGTCCCTCAACCCTTCTTCCCCAGAAAGATGCAACTCGTGAGCACAGCACGTCCAAATGTGTCTGCGGAAATGACCCTTCGGGCACGGAGTCTCCCGACAAGAACGGCTGCCCTCTGGCTACAGGGCGGGGAGAACGGCGACTGATCACAGACTGGACAGCAGCCTGGGGAGCATGATCAGCCCACCGTTAGGGCCCTGTTGATTCTAACCCAGAGCCCAGCTGACCGGCTCAGCCTCCAAGCAGCGCACATGCACACACACGCACACGAACACACACACACGTGCACATATACACCTACACACATGTGCACACATGAACATACATGCACACACATACTCTCCGGCTGTGGGTGGGAGCCGCTTGGCAGCCCCACTTGTGCAGCCTGCACCGCCCTCACAGGAGGGGTGGTGCCACTGTCATGGGGGACAGGCACCTAGGGCCATGCCTGCGAGCTGCCCCGGGTAAAGTCACAGGGCCAGGTTCTGAGCTGGCGTGGGGGCAGGAAAGTGAAATCATACCTGGGTTTCAGTAACTCCGGGGGCAGCGTGAATCGCAAGTGGCTGGTGGGACTGTCCCCAAACCTGAGGGCTCCGGGCCGGGCCTGGGTGCCAGGCGGTGGGGGGCAGGCCTGAGCGCTCTGCCCCACGGGCATGCTCCCTGGAGAGGCCCCGGGCGAGTCCTGCAGGGGCTGCGGGAAGAAGCACAGAACGAGAATTATCCAGGGAGAAGGAAGAACCCCTCTTCTAAGTGCCCCGCCAGCTCTCACTCTGGATCCTGAGAGGAACTCAGCAGATGGGCTGGCCCCTGGGGAGGAGGGTGATTCCGGGTCCACAGGAGCCGCTCGCTCTCCTGCTGCTGCCCCTGAGCCGGTGCCACCCAGAGCCCCTCCCCCAGAGCCAGCAGCCAGGCCTGCACAGCCCGTCCCTGGGCCAGGGCTGCCACCTGCCGCCTCCCTGGGCAGAGGGAGGGAGGAGGGCAGGAGACGGGTGGGGCCACAGCCGGGCCCCACGCTCCTCAGAGCTGGGCGCGCACAGCAGTCTGGGCTGGACGGTGCTGTGAACTTCGGAGCGGGACCGATTTGGTTGTTGTTGTTGTTGTTTTTCAATGTAAATTCTTTGTTGTTTAAAGTCATACATGTGCCCCCTCTTTCCTCCACTGACCTCTCCCCACCGCTCCCACCCCAGCACATGCCCTCGTGGGACTGAGATTTAGTGCAGAAAACAGCCATAATTAGTACCAAATGTCGCTAAAAAACTGTTGGAGGGAACCAAGACTCCCAGCCCCCAACCCCTTTCTCTGCTGCAAAGTCCGGATCGCAAGGCCCTGTCCATGCCTTTCCCAAGGACTGGAGTTCAGCGGGGACCCCATTCTTCACAGCGAACGGGGTTCATCTTGCTAGGGGTTGTCCAGGAGTGAACACGTGACCCCTCCTGGCCCTCCACCGAGCAGGAGAGTCAGGGTCACGGGGGATCTGACCCTCACTGAGCAGGAGAGAGTCACAGCTTCCCTCACTCTCCTTCCCTCCTAACACTCATCCTGTCCTCTCTCCAGACGCCGCCCCCATTCATCCCGCAACCAGAGGGGATGCCTCGGGATGACAGGAACTCCTGCCTCTCCCTTGCCACCCACATTCAATCGTGATGTCCTGTGTCGTCTGTCCCTTAAACAGCTTTGGATCCATTTCCTCTGTGTCTCCACCACCGCTGTGCTAATTTAGTTTCGGGTCATGTTCAGCCTCGCAGAACAAAAATCAGTACATGGCCCTGGCTGGTTTGCTCAGTGGATAGAGCGTCCGCCTGCGGACTGAAGGGTCCCAGGTTTGATTTTGATCAAGGGCACATGCCTGGGTTGTGGGCTTGATATCCAGTAGGGGGCGTGCAGGAGGCAGCCGATCAATGATTCTCTCTCATCATTGATGTTTCCATCTCTCTCTCCCTCTCCCTTCCTCTCTGAAATCAATAAAAACATATTTAAAAAAATAAAAAATTAAAAAGAAAACCTCTTTTACCTTTTGGCATAATCCAGCTGTTGATGACTCATCAAATCCACTTCCAGAGGCACCGACCACCGTGAGGTCATGTGACCCCCCTCCCCCCTCCCAAGTCTCCCACCTCTCCTGCCCCTCCCCCAACACCTCCCAGGAGGAGGTCGGACACTCACCTGGTTGATGTCGAAAGACTGGGCTCTGCTCAGCCTGGTAGAACCTTTCAGCAACATGAGGAACGGTGGTTTGTTCAGGCTGCAGCCTCCCAGGGACACGTCTCTCTTGGAAGACTTAGCGGTCAAGTCCAGGACTTGGGGGCTCTGTGTTGACCTGGGATGAGGGCAGGAAAGAGCTGCTGCCAAACTCGGACACGTGGAGGGAGGGAGGCACCTGGCAGGGGGCGGGGCTCTAAGCCACACACTTTCACTGTCCCGGTTCTGAGCAGCCTTTCACCCACCTGTACCTCCTACCTTTATTAACTTATTTATATTGACTTCAGAGAGGGAGGGAGAGGGAGAGATAGAAACGTCAATGCTGAGAGAGAATCATGGATCGCCTGCCTCCTGCACGCCCCACACTGGGGATCGAGTCTGCAACCTGGGCATGTGCCCTGACCGGATTCGAACTCGGGACCTCTCAGTCCACGGCCCAATGCTTTATCAATGGAACGAAACCGGTTAGGGCAAGGAAGTCATTTTTTTAAAGTTTGTGGGAATCTGACTCCCTAACCCACCAGGGGCAGGTCCTCTGCCGTGCAGGCCGCTGGATCGTACAGAGAAAAGGGCACGCACCTCTGGATGAACACGTTGCTGATGCAGCCCTCAAAGTCACTCCCGCCCAGACGCAGGGGCCTCTGGGAACTGGGGGAGCCTGGCAGCCTCTGGTCACTTTTCAGCAGCTGGTCGTCGACGAGCAGCCGGAGCCTGAAGGGGAGAAAAGCAGAACAAGGTGAGACGTGCTGGGAGAGAAGGTCATCGCCCCGCGGCAACTTCCTGTCTTCAGTTCAGACTCAGTGTCTGCGTAAAATAACGCGTTAAACTAGACTTGTTTTTAAAGAGCATTTACATCTGTTTCTTGTATTTCTTCTGCACCTATTTTTTTAAAAATATATTTTATTGATTTTTTACAGAGAGGAAGGGAGAGGGATAGAGAGGTAGAAACATCCATGAGAGAGAAACATCGATCAGCTGCCTCCTGCACACCTCCCACTGGGGATGTGCCCGCAACCAAGGTACATGCCCTTGACTGGAATCAAACCTGGGACCCTTCAGTCCGCAGGCCGACGCTCTATCCATTGAGCCAAACCAGTTAGGGCTGCACCTATTTTTATTAAAGCTTCTACACATACAGGAAGTGCATGCATCATAAGCGGACAGCTCAATGGGTTTTTGCAATGTGAATACACCAATGTCCCTGGCACCCCAATAAAGAGCTGACCAGCACCCCAATCGGAGCTGACCAACACCCCAATCAGAGCTGACCAGCACCCCAATAAAGAACTGACCAGCACCCCAGGAACTGTGCTGTCACAGAAAGCTACAGAACTTCCTTTCTCGTGACTCCCATTTTATCCTTCCATTTTGAATGTACCACAATTTATTTATCCATCCAATGCTGATTAATTTTTAATGAGGAAATTGACATAGAACCAGGAAGAAGGCCGGCACTTACTAGTAAAATAGCCTCAGCCTTAAGGACAAATAGTTCACAAGAAAGGGTGCGGGCAGGTCCCAGGAGACTAAGGAAAGTCCGATTCTCGGAGCTCTGGCAGGCGGGCCACCCACTCACCCAGCGCTGTCGCTCATCACAGACACGTGGTGCAGGGAGCCATCCGAGTACTTCCCCGGAGACTTAAAAATCGGGCGGCTGCTGTCCCTGGTGCTGACTTCAATGTGCCCATCTTCCAGGGAGACCTGCAGGCTGCTTGTCTGAAATCATCGTAGAATATACCCATCAAGGCAATGAATTTACTTCAGGATTATACATGTATCAATACTGAATTTATTATGAAAACTATGTATAGCCCGGCATGGCTCAGTGGTTGAGCATCGACCTATGAACCAAGAGGTCACAGTTCCATGCCCGGTCAGGGCACATGCCCAGTTTCAGGCTCCATCCCCAGTGTGGGGCGTGCAGGAGGCAGCCAGTTGATGCTGATGTTTCTCTCTCATTGATGTTTCTATCTCGCCATCCCTCTCCCTTCCTCTCTCTCTAAAATCAATAAAAACCTATTTTAAAAAACTATGTATAAAAACAGGGTGTTTTGACCCAAATGTTTTGATTTTGTTATTTTGATCTAAAGACTATTTTTAAATATTTTAACTCCAGGTTTATGAATATAAGCATCTTATGCAAATTATTTCAACACTGATGAATTTATCAAAAGCATTTTATGGGTCTACATTCATAAACCAATTTAATTTCTCCATCAATTACACAAAATAGTTAAATCATTTCTAAATTTTTCTATTTTCACTTTCATTCTGCTAAAGTTATTTTCATCAGATCCATTCTCTTCTAAATAAACTCTAGAATAAAGGGTGAATTAATCTTTTTCTTCATGTGATTAGAACAATGATCTTTTCAGTCATTATACATTTTTTATTTTCTGGTCACAATTTCTAGGAATTTCAATTTTCCAATGTCAAACTGCAGATCTAAATTCCGGCAAGATGATTTAATTTTTTCTGTCAATTCTTAATAAAAAAATATGTGTAGTTTTAGCAGCTGTCACTTTAATTTTGTTGACCTTTTCTCTGCCAAGTACAATTTTGTAGTTTCCAGCAAGATGTAATTCTTCAGTGACTTTTCATCTAAGCTGAGTGTGTGCTGTAGCCACACCAGTTCCATCATGCTGGTTTTTCTTCAGTTGGAAATACTCATTGTGACCAGATGAAAGAATGCTAATTGGTAGGCGTTTCTTAGGTAACCACGTAGGAGCTGAGGGCCACGTTCCCCGGCTATTCCTCGGGTTCCTGCGCTGCCCAGGACTGATCTCATCGCGACTGAGCCAGTTCCTCTCCCATCTGCTTCTGAGCGTCGTGTACATTGTGTTCTCAGTGTCCCTAGCTCAGCAGAAGAAACAAGTGTTGGTGTCAAAAGAGTGGATCAAAGCATCCTGTTTTGATGGAAGAGCCATTCTCACAATCTAAATGTTAGCATGTGCTTCTTTAGCGCCGGTTTTAAAAAAAATTGATATCAGAGAGAGGAAGGGAGAGGGAGATAGAAACATCAATGATGAGAGAGACTCATTGATCAGCTGCCTCTTGCACGCCCCCTACTGGGGATTGAGCCTGCAACCCCGGCATGTGCCCTGACTGGGAATTGAACCATGACCTCCTGGTTCATAGGTCGATGCTCAACCACTGGGCCACGCCGGCAGAGCTTTAGTAGCACTAGTTGCAAAAAGGATCTCTAAAGGCCGATGGGCAAAGAGGTGAAGAGAGGAAAGGCTTTCTACTCGGACAGGCACAGAGGCAGCCGCCACCCTTCCTGTCAGCCGGTCCCAGGGGTCCGCTGTGTGTGCTGGCAGTCCCGAGGAGCAGTCCCAGAATGGCAGCGGATACTGCTACTTCGCTTTAGACCCCACGTGTCCCACAGGGAGGTTTCTGCGTGGCATTGGTTGACTTCTGCGCCTACGGAACTGCACCAGCTGAGTCCCCGCAGGGCACAGAGGGCACCTCCTTGTGGAAGACAGTGGCCGTGGCTCTGTTGTACACGAACCAAGAGCCAAGACCGGCTTTTCTCCCACTTCCCAGGTGCCAAAGTGTCCAACTAGCTGCTGCAAAAACGAAGAGCCACCTTTCATGAATTCAAAAGGAATAGTGGGGGGACACTCTGATTTTCCCCCTTAGACCGAAAACATTAAGCTACATGATCACTTATAACAGTGATAATCCACCTCGACCCAAAGAAAAAATAAAAAAAGAATGAAAACCAAGCCCATGGATACACACAAATCCAATTCGGTGAACTATAATGTACTTTCTAAACCTGATTTCCTCTCGGACCTACCCCCTTGGAGGTTGAGCTACACAGTGGCATTTGCCACGGGACGATAGATGAAACGCCCAACTAATTTACATTCAAAATCTCTTTGTTGTTTCTGACGTCAAACCTCAAGTCAAGTTCAAATCGTGTGCAGTATTCACACAACGTTCCGTACCCCGGCCGGATGCTGCAGTAGGACGCCACTGGGCTGGAAGGTCTGAAACCCAAAGGAGGCCTGGAACTGGCTGGGCAGCGGGAGGTCCAAGTGGGTGAAGCTCATCTGTCCTCCCCTGGAGAACGAGGCGGTGCGCACGAGCTGGAATGCAAACACGGGATGGGTTATGGGCATGGGAACTGTCCTCCGTGCCCCTCCAGAGAGCTTGCTTTTCTGAGTGACGACGTATCACGTATCAGTCATCGGCAGGGCTGTGTGAGTGGGTGGTGTCCCCCCGTCCTATGAATTTCATATGCAAACCTGAGGAGGCTTTGCAAGTCTGTGGGGAGTGCATATGAATGAGCCAGGCCTCACTAGCCCACGTGCTACCAGAAAAGGGTCCAAAGTTGACGTGGCCATGGGTCCCAAACACTGGGCTGGCTGGGCGCACTCCCTTGTAAGGTTTCGGACTCTTCACTCACCTTCCAGTCCTCTGAGCACTTCTTGGTCACGCCCACGATGTCGTTCAGCCTGACCACGCCGCTGGTCTTCTTCAGGTTCTTCATGCAGCCTCGGAAAGCAGGCGTCGAAATGTTAAACCTGATTTGGAACACAATCGAGCACAGGGATGTACCAGACCAGGCCAACCCGAGAACCAGCTGCAACGCTGCCTCTGCCACTCCTCACCCAGAAACAAGGGTGAACTTCAGGGTTATCTGTTCTCTGGGGATTTTTATAAAGCTACTCATTCCGTGATGCCGGACAATCCACTTCCTTTCTGTGTGATTCTGCATTCTCAGCTTTAGAAATGAGCACAGTCGCCCGGCCGGCGTGGCTCAGTGGTTGAGGGTTGACCTATGAACCAGAGGTCGCCGGTTTGATTCCCAGTCAGGGCACATGCCTGGTTGTGGGCTGGATCCCCAGTAGGGGGCCTGCAGGAGGCAGCCAATTGATGTTGATGTTTCTCTGTCATCGATGTTTCTCTCTCTCTCTCCCTCTCCTTCCCTCTTTCTCTAAAAATCAATAAAAGCATATTTTTAAAAATGATCACAATAGTGTTGACAGAAAAATAGCCAGTGTCCCCAAAAGGGAAAGAGACAGAGATAAACCATATCTAGAATTGCTCCCTTTCTCACCTCCCCCAGGAGTCATGGCAGTGCATGGTGAATAGAAGTATATTAATAAATCAAGATACTGGAAATATTAAGAAATGTATATTAATAACTTCCTAAGTAAGTAGTTCGTTGGAGCCAGGCATGCTCTAGAAAGCTTTATGTTCTCTTCTCCTGTCCACTTCTACACTAAACGCAGAAGAAAGGAACTGTTACTTTTGGTTCCAAACAAGTGTGAAGGCTGTGGCTCAGCACTGAGCCGATGCCAAGCTGAACATCGGAAAGCACTGTCCGGTCTCACACTGCATCTGCCACCTCGTAATTGTGCTGGACAAGGGGTTGTTGTGCGGATTAAACACGCGGATGCACAGGAGGTGCCCGGAGCCATGTGGGGCTCGTGGCCATGAAAGCCAGGAGGTGTTCCCCAGAGGTAAGATGGTGCTGTTCTAGGGCTGTGGGCTCTGGAGCCGGGCCGCCTGGGTGCAAGTCCGGTTCTGCTGCCTGGGCAGCGACATCACTTCTCTAGCCTCTGTTTCCTCATTTATACAATGGGAACTTTAATCTGTTTCCTGGGGTTGTTCAAATGAGTTAATATGTGTGACCCTCTCAATTGCTGCTTGGTACAGAGCAGGTGTAAGGACAGGAAAAAAGGCCTCTCTCTTTTTTTTGTTCATCCTCACCCAATGATATTTTTCCATTGATCCTTCAGAGAGAGTAGGAGAGAGAGGGAAAGTCAGAGAGAAACATGGATGTGAAAGAAACACATCCATTGGTTGGCTCCTGCACACGTCCAGACCAGGGCCCAGGCCGAGGAGGAGCCTGCAACCCAGGCAAGTGCCCTTGACCGGAATCGAACTTGGGACCCGTTGGTCTACAGACCAACGCTCTATCCACTGAGCCACACTGGCTAGGGCTCCTCTCTTTTTCTTTGCTGTAACCTTCCCCAATTTATGAAGAGCACATGGTAATAAACCCCAAGATTGTTAGCCCCTCCAGTTCAAACAGCTCCTCTGTTCAAAACTGCAGGACAAGCTAAGCTACTTTTGAGGTTAAATTCTTGCATCCCCCTCCTCCCTGCTGTTTGCACAACTCAGGGATAATTCCCACCAAGGAGTCTCTAGTTGGTAGAAAGTTCCCTTCCCCCACCCCTTCAAACACGCCTCTTGAACTCCATGACTTCTGCTCTAAGCTTGTTTTACAGGCTCGGGGAAAACACTGAGAAGGTGCTGCCCTAGGACATCTGCTGGACTGTCTCCTGGAAAGCAAACAATCTGTAATCTGTCAAGGCAACCCCCTGATGACTGCTCAACTTCAGCCCCGAGTCCTCCTCCCTTCCCTGTCGCTTAGCAACAGCCGGGACGTAAAAGGGGAAGCCGCCCTGTGTCTCTTGCCCTGTGCTGATTAGCAATGCAGGGCCTTCCCCTTCCTAGAAGGTAACAGACACTTCCCGTCTACATCTCTTCTTTCAGTTGTGAATCCTTTCACAGCCCGTGTCACCGGCCAAACCCTAACAGCAGGGACTGACTAGACAGGTAGACTCAGCGACGACCCGGTGGGAGCGCAATCGTTTGACGAGAGCCACTTCTGAAGCCGCTCTTTCCACGTGGCGTTTCCTGCTACTCGGCTTCTGAAGCTGGATTCCCATCAAACATGAACACACAGGAGCCAGCTGAAGTCCAGGCAAATATTTGTGTTTCTTAAACAAATGATGAAGCAGAGAACCACAGAGTCGATCTCATTGCGAATCCCTCAGGCAGCTCACTTCTCTAAGGGGCAGCGTGTCTGCGTTCATTCTTATTCAGTTCATTATAAGCTGTTTAGCGGCATGCAATATGCATAAAATTAAATTTCATTACAGGAAAAAGAAGAAACGAATCCTCAGTGGAACTGCAGCCCGAGCTTAATTATCTTATAAAGACGGCTTTTTGCCTCCCGAGGGGAGGGAGGTTCGAATGGACTCCTGGGGCTTGTCTATTTATACATCCAGACCCGTCCTCTCTTGCATTTCAGCATTTCAGACCCATCGACATCTCCTGATGCCCTGCTTTTTCTTTAAATATTCAGAGGTTACATAGGTTACCTGCCATGATCTACAAGGTTTCTTCCAGTTCAAAAAATCTAAGGAGTAAAGAAATTCACTCAAACTCCATTAAGTGCTAAGATTTCTCTGCATTTTTGTCTTTGGGGCCAACCTGACAACTTTAAACCGAAGGTTAGTGCCTCCTTACTAAGGACGGATAACACCTTATAAGTCATATCTCCTTCCAACCAAGGGATAAATCAGAAAAGTGTCAACTGGCCTCAGATCACGAATGAAAGTCTCGTAATCCAGCCTTTGGGGCTCGCTGAGTCAGAGGCTGCACTCACCCTTCAGGTGTCTCCTCCGTACATGCCATCAGCTCCCTCACACCCTTTAGGAGGACGTCAACAAGATGGGAAAGCTTTTTAAAGTACAGTGGGGCCTTGACCTACGAGTGTCCCGACTAACGAATTTTTCGAGATATGAGCCATCTCTCGGCCGATTTTTTGCTTTGAGTTGCGAGCTAAAATTCGGGTTACGAGCCAGCTTCAGATACCCCACCGCTAGTTGGCGCAGCGAACATCACAGTGAACGCCACAACATCAGCCCAGCATCACATGTCTCACTCGTTCACTTTTGATTTGACATACAAGTAATTTGAGTTACAAGCTCCGTCACGGAACGAATTAAACTCGTAAGTCAAGGCCCCACTGTACATTCTCAACTCGTCTTTTTCTCATTCCGATCAAGCTTTACTTCTTTATAAATGAACTTAATTCATTCATGTGCTCATTAGTCTGAGAATAGGTGTGCCCCTATTCTGCACTCGATACATAGGCAGGGGGTGGGAACACAGATGTGCCTTATGTTCTTTTTAAGAATATTTTTTATTGATTTCAGAGAAGAAGGGAGGGAGGGAAGAAGGGGGAGAGGGAGAGAGAGAGAGAGAGGCATCAATGATGAACATAGAAGCATCGAAAAAACCATCAAACCTCAGAGGGAAGGCAGGGAAGGTTGGAGGGCTGGAGGTGGTGATAAGAGATCAACCAAAAGACTTGTATGCATGCATATGAGCATGACGAATGGCCACAGACAGTAGGGGGATGAGGGTCTGTGCTGGGGGCAGGAGTGGGCTGGGAGAGGCCAATGGGAGAAAAGGAGACATATATAACACTTTCAACAATAAAGAATTAAAAAAGAAGAAACATCAGTGATGAGAGAGAATCATTGATTGGCTGCCTCCTGCATGCCCCCTATTGGGAATAGAGCCTGCAACCCGGGCATGTGCCCTGACTGGGAATTGAACCGTGACCTCCTGGTTCATAGGTCGACGCTCAACCACTGAGCCACGCCGGCCGGGGATGCCTTACGTTCTTGAGACGTTTCCCAAAGGCAGCCCCCCAACTCCCAGTACTGCCTGTGGGCACGGGATGCCTGGGCCCTCACAAGACCTTTAAGGGCCCAGCGCCACCCCCTCCATTGTAATGGGCGGCACTGGCACCCCCTGCACTCCTGAGATTTCTCTCCTCCCAAGAATGGCAATGGGGGTGGCACACAGGTCCCCTACCCCCCCCTTCAAACGGCCAGTCCCATCACCCAGTGTTTAGAGCCTGTTTTACCCCGTTGCCTAACACTGTCAGTACTGAAAAGCTAACTCTGTGGTTATCGGTCCCTAGAATTAAAAAGGCAAACAAATCAGGAGCAACCAAACCCGAGAGGTAATCTGCTTCCTTAAAAAAAACCATCTCACCTTTCCCTGATGGAGAGTGGGATGCCTCCCAGGTAGTATGTGCTGAAGTCAAATATTTCTCCTCCAATTTCAATGCTTTGGGAATTCCCCACACTTATCCTTATAAGTTTCCGGGATTTTATAATTTTGATCTGAATCTGAAATAAACGAGAGGTGAGTCAGCCAGCAACGAGGAAAAGGAACCCTATTCGCGGTGCTTCGGGCTGTTGTGGTCTTGTCTTCCTTCAGATTCATGACACACAGTCGGGAGGCTGTCGCATAAACTAGACTATGAAAGCATTTTAATAAAGATGTTGGAAGTGAGTCGTGTTTTATATATGCCACATACACGGCCTATATTTCATGCCCAAATGTCGACATTTTAAAGGGACGTGCCGCTCAGTGAACAAGTGTGTGTGTGTCCCCCGCCCCTACCCCTGTAACAGAGAAGAGCCTGGGGCGCTGACTTCACTGTGAGGACTGGGGACATTAAGGATCCAGGGAACAGACTCGGGGGACGTACCGAGTGGTCTTTCCCGTTGCTGATGACTTCTCGGATCCCCTTTTCTTTGGGCGGGTCTGCGTCCAGCTTGTACCGCACCAGGAGGCTGCCGTCCTCGATGTTGAGGGAGATGAAGCGGTTCTAGAGCAAGGAGACAGCGCCCATTACAGGATCTGTGTTTAGGGGGATGGAGGGTCATAGAGCAAGGAGACAGCGCCCATTACAGGACTCTGTGTTTAGGGGGATGGAGGGTCATAGACCAAGGAGACAGCGCCCATTACAGGATCTGTGTTTAGGGAGATGAGGATCCTCGAGCCAGGATCCACGCCGATGACCAGGAGACGCGATAGAGGAAGGGCTGAGCTGGCACTCAAGTCCTCTAAGTCCCGGCTGCTCTCAGCCAGCTGCCTCCTCGGTTGAAGGGACAACAGTGCTGCAAGGCCAGCTCCCGGCTGGGCCTGGGGGCTGCACGCTGAGTCTCGTCAAGCACCGTGTGTGGTGGTCAGCACACAGGAGGGAACAGGAAACGCTAGTCTAGCTGCCATGACCCTTCCCAGCGACCATGACCAGCGTGTGAAAATGGGAACGGAAAGACCCAGCTCATGACACCACGTGAACACGCGGCTGCCTCTGGGAAGGGGTCTGGCCTTCCCTAAGCCCCGGCGTTGGCCACCGTCTGGCTTCTGCCTCGTTACTGCATCTCAGTCTCATTTGCTGGCTCAGCCCCCTTACCTCCCGTTTCAATGTGGGGGTTCTTTGGGGATCCCGCACAGGACCTCTTCCTCCCGCCACTTCTCTGTCTCGCGATCTCAGACACACCTGTGCTCCGATTCAGGTGTGCCCGGGGGCCCAGACGTCTCCTCCAGCCTGGACCTGTCTGCACACACGGGCCTGCGCACCTGCTTCCTCCCTTTCTTGCTGCCAGGCCTCCCGGACACCCAAACCCAGAATCTCTCTAACAGGACTCCCACCCACATGCCTCCCACCCGCTGCCGAGCCGTCTCTGCTTTCACGCTGCTCCCTCTCCGTTCCCTCTCTCACTTCTTATCACGTGAGCCAGCCACACACCCAGGAGCCATTCTTGACTCTTCCCTCTCTCCCATCCAATCCAATCTGGTCAGTCCCACCATTTCTTAGCTCTCTCCCCCCGTCAGGCCTCCTGGTCGCAACCACAGCTCCTTCAGCTGACTGCACAGCGATAATGTGCTGTCCCCCCCATGCCCACGCTGTCCCCATGGCCACGCTGTCCCCATGGCCACGCTGTCCCCTGCCCACGCTGTCCCATGCCCACGCTGTCCCCATCCCCCCGCTGTCCCCATGCCCACGCTGTCCCCATGCCCATGCTATCCCCCCATGCCCACACTGTGCTCTCATGAATCCGTGTTCCACTCTGCAGCCAACGTGGTCAGTGTGAGCAGGTTGCTCTCCTTCTCTCTCAGGATAAAGCCCTGACTCCCCACCAGGTGCTCTGAGGCTCTGACCAGGCGTCAGATCCATTCATCTGTGGTCCCTCTGGCTCTCTGTGTCCCAGCCACATGGGCAGCCATCGCTCCCCCAGGGCCCCCGGCCCTTCCCATGTCTGGGCCTTCTTCCTGCCCCTCCCCCACACGCGTCACCCTCCTGCCTCTCCCCTTTGCACGCTGCCCTCTCCTTGTCCTCCAGGTCTCAGATTAAGTGTCCTTTGTTCAAGAAAGTCTATTCTTGACACATCCTCATGTCACCCCCACCGTTCCCTCTCTATGACTCATCACCCTTGTGATGACGTCATTAACCCACCCACTAGCAGACGTGTGTTTCCTATTTGTCTTCCCACAGTACCCAAGGTCCCTGCGGGCAGCAAGCATGTGGTTGGGTCCGTTGGCGTCCGCTCCGTGTGTCAGGCTGTACCGGGCCGGCTGTTTCCTCGGAGGAAAGATGAGCCCGGGGTTCCCCGTGGGCTTGCGTTTGCTCTTGCACTAACCCTGTTGGTCTGAAGCCTCGCACTGAAGGCTTCAGAGTCCGTCTCTGAGAGAAAAGTCAGCCCCAGCTGGACCCCAACCTGCCCTGGGGAGCCAGTCGGGCTCCTCTCACTCATAAACACAGAATAACCTCAACTCACGGACAGGAAGGAGCCAGCCTGCCTACAGCAGCCTCTAGATCACACTCCTATCTGGCTGCTGACGGCACCTGGTAAGTTTCATTCTAATACAATGAGCAGTGTTTCAGGGTCTTGGTCTCAAAGGCCTTCACGCTGTAGCACAGAGGACCCTGCTTCGGGACACAGCTGCCTGGCCCTGAGCACGTGGTGGACTCCCCGGCTCTGCATCTCCAGGCAGGGCAGGGCCTTCCCGATCCATCAGCCTTGGCATCTCCCGGGGGGTCCAGACCAACCCCAAAGAGAAGAGTCGGGCCAGGTCTGTGACCCCCCCCTTCAGGTAGAAGTGCCTTATGAACCCACATTCTTAGCCTGAGATCCCCATTTCTCCAGAAATGCTACCTGATGGAGCAAGAGAGAAGAGTCGGGCCAGGTCTGTGACCCCCCCCGCTTCAGGTAGAAGTGCCTTATGAACCCACATTCTTAGACTGTGATCCCCATTTCTCCAGAAATGCTACCTGATGGAGCAACGACAGAAGGCTCTTCACAGGCCAGACAACTCCAGCCCACCCACCAGCAGGTGGCGCTAAGGTCACCTGTAGAGTGTAGAGCATCGCCTTGGGCTCTTCTAGACCAGGAGACTAAGGAATGGCCTCTAGGGATCTCAGCTACTTGATACGAGAGACGCTATCATGTCCTGGATAGTCCAGGGTCAGGTTGATGAAGACAACCCCACACGGCCTGCAGGAGTCAGACCAAGATGCAAACAGTCTAGCTCCCAGAGACCCGGGAGGTCTTCACATTTTCTATGCAAAGTAAATTATTAGGCAAATAGTGGTTCCCAAAGAATGAAATTGACAGTGAGAATCAAATGGGAAAAGGGGTGACCTCTCCCACATTTTGGTAGCGTGTTCTCAGGTTCCTGATTACTTGCCTTATTACGACACATCTTCCCACAACCAGAGAAAGCAGGACTGAGCCACGGGAGAGGATGCAGGTCACATGTGCACCTGGTCTTTCAGAGCGAGTTGGCTGTTTATAATAACCAGGTACCCCAGGTTGCTCCATGGAATGGACATACTTGCTAGTAGTTAGATGTTTGTTATAAATCACCTGGTTTTCTGCGAAGAACAGCAACCCTCTGTCCACAGTGGTCTGAACAACCTGGCTGAAGGTTGGGAAGGGAGCGTGTGGCTGAGTTGGAATTCGAGCATAGCCTGTGCCTTCAAAGTAATTCTTGTCTGACTCCTCCTTCCTCCTGTAACACCAACGAGCACAAGTGAGAACACGGCAGCGAAGGGTGATCGGCAAGCGTGTTTATTAGTAGGAGGTGCTGCTCCCTGGGGAATGGAGTCAACACATGCAATCTAGTTGTTAAGCTCTTTTAAAGAAGAGGAAACACCTTTAAAATGCTAAAACAGCCAGCATTTCTCCTGGAGGTACTCTTATATCCTATATAATAAAGCAGTAATATGCAAATTGACTGTCACAGCCTCGCACAAGATGGCCACCCCCATGTAGTCAAAGATGGCCAGCAGGGGAGGGCAGCTGGGGGCGATCGGGCCGGCAGGGGAGGGCAGTTAGGCGTCGATCAGGCTGGCAGGGGAGGGCAGTTGGGGGCGATCAGGCTGGCAGGCAGAAGCAGTTAGGGGCAATCAGGTAGGCAGGCAGGTGAGCGTTTGGGAACCAGCAGTCCTGGATTGTGAAAGGATGTCCAACTGCCGGTTTAGGCCCACAGTCGGACATCCCCTGAGGGGGCCCAGATTGGAGAGAGTGCAGGCTGGGCTGAGGGCCCCCCCACAGTGCACGAATTTTATGCACGGGGCCTCTAGTCTTATGATAATTAAACACCAGCTCAGTAAAGATAATATTCAGGAGTCCCTTTGGAAATATCTACTTAGGAACAGCTTGAAAGGTACAAAAACTATTAACATGAAATACAGTAATTTTGTTCTGAGTAATAAAAACTCAGTCTGTTCCATGTTAGAATATTCCAAACCCTTTTAACTAGAGGGCAGGAAGGTCAGGAGCTCCAGGCAGAATTTCCATGAGGTCCAGGTGTCAGTGTACCTAGAAAGTCACGGTGTGCTTTGTGGGCCACTTTTTTTTTTAAAATTTATAGTAAATATATACTTTTGTGCCTAAATCAGGCACCATCCTACATGGAACATTTTGTGGTAGGAGGCACCAAAAATTTTTTAAAAAATATTTATTTTTAAAGCAAGAAAACTGATCAACCTAACGTATTACCCAGATGGAGAAAAAAGTCTACCGGTTTTGGATTTTAGGGACGGCCTAGCATGGTGCCTGCCAGCATCCCTGGAGAACTGCTGGCCCAAAGCAGCCTGTGACACCAACAGCAAGTTGTACATGTACAATACCTGCAAGTCATAGAGATCACAGTGACAGAGACACGGCTTCGAGGCCTTCGTTACCTTTTACAAGGCTCCACTTGGGTGGTATTAAGGTTGAAAGTTTCTTTGAAGTTGTACAAGCTCAGGACGTTCTCATTGAGGTCATCCAACTCAATACAGCCTTTGTATGGAGGGAACCTCAGTCTTCCAGGGAGCTGACGAGAACGGAACAAAACATCTACTCACTGAGCAAAGGACAACGATCAGGCTGACCAAGAAAGAGTATGAACCTGGCACTTTTCGCCATCCACAGAGCAACAGGAGTTAAGAATGTGGACCCTGGCGCCAACGCCCCGGCTGTACTGTTTAGAACCCTATGACCTCGGGCAAGTTACCCAACCTCTTTGTCTCAGTTTCCTCGTCTGGGAAGTGGGAATGATAACGATGCTTTTTAAATGAATATACTGAGCATGTATCACTGAGCAAGAAGTACTCAAGTGCTAGCTGTTACCCCTGGGTAAGCTTCGAGAATATAAAGTTAAGGCCATCTTATATATAATTGATAAGTAGAGACAAGAGGTCATCACACCAAATAAAAGTGCCAATGCGTTCACTTGGGGAAGTAACACTAGCACTTACTGTGAAGTCAGATGGGTAGCCTCCCACATAAAACACAACGTTTTCAGGGTCCAGATCGAGGAGTGTGTTGCTGTTTCCACCATCTATGTCGTAGAACTGAGCTGTTTCTGGTTTATTGGATGTGGCTTTTCTGGTGTAATTAAGCCTTGCAAACTGGTAGATTCTGTTTAAAAATAAAGTAGATAGCAAGTTTATGTAAAAATGTAGGCAAACATGAAAAAAAATCAAAGCCAAGATTCTAAAAATGGGGTTCAGCAACACGTGCAATGGAAGTTTGGGGGTAAGTCAGCTTAACAAGGAGCTGCGGCCCAGTACCTCTGGAACTTGACCCGGTCCATAACCGCCTCCTGAGTTTCACTCCTGGTCAAGGTCTGGTCCACCTGCAGCTCGGCCTCGCGGCCCCCCAGGTTGTAGACACACCTGAGCTGGCCGTCCACCATGGCCATGCCGATATAGTCCCCGGAGGCCTGGAGGCAGAAAGCCCACCTCAGAGCCTGGACACATGCATTCTCTCAGCTCCCCACCCCAAGAGAGTGCGTCTCCAGTAACTCGTGGGTTTGCACAGTGAGCCTTGGGGGGCAGAACAAAGGAGGCGTCTCCTCATGGGAGTAATACGGACAGCACACCTCACACTGCTAATGCGCGAGCTGCCTTTGCTCGCGGTGTCGTTCACTCATGTCCTACAGATGATGGTTCCATGAAGCCCTCATATTGCTGCCCTGGGCACGTGGGAGAGGGGCCGACCTTTGACCCCAGGTGTGCATGTGCTGACAGGTGCACACGGGTAAGGCCCCTAGCTCTGCGGCAGGTAATAATCCGGGCTGACGGAGGCCCCGTGCACTGTTGAGGTGGCGGAGCCTGCTGGTGCACGGGCAGTATTTCCTCCTACTGTGCCCACGGCACTGCCAGTGGGGTCACGTGCCCCAGAGCCCATATTCCTTTACTAACAGGAGACACGCCAACGCGGCACTCACGTCTTTGTTGCCGAGGTACATCACAAACATGTTCTCTGTCCCGCCGTTCTCCCCGGACTCGGGTCTTTGGAGAAACAAGGAGAGAGACGTGTATCCCTTCAGGTCGTCCAGGTCGCTGGGCAGCCGGACTTCCACACCCGACTTCCCGTTGAACCTCATGGGGATGGCGACCTGTGAGGGCGAGACCCGGCGTTAGCCGCTGTGCCAGGGGGAAAGCAGGTGTGCAGAGTGGCAGCTCCTGGCTTCCCAGCTACTGCTTCTAGCACGAACCACCGCTCCCAAGCCGTCTGATAAGGAACAAAGGGGGTGAGGCCTCCTAGCCCTGCATTAAAAAGCACGAATAGAACCAGAGACATGGAAGCATGGAACTGACTGTCAGATGTCAGAGGGAAGGAGGGTGGGAGGGGAGAGATCAACCAAAGACCTTGAATGCACGTGTGCATAACCCATGGACACAGACAATGGGGTGGTGA